GAAGGGCCTCTTGACAGGAAATTAGGGTGTAGGCCACACAGTTTCCCTAGTGGTACGTCACTACAAAGCATGATTATTTGCATGAGATTATTCAGCTCAGCAGTGGCCATATCTAGACCAGTGGACAGGACGGGTATGGAGGGCTGAAATCATGACATGAAGCTTGCACAGCCAAGGGCACGTTACTTTGTGTGCTAGTGGGAGTCACCTGCACCCTAGATCGTTCTTGTGTCATGTTTTGGAACACAGTAGGGAAGGAGTCAGCAGCTTGTGTTGGCCCTTGCCCCTGTTGAGAGTTCAGCCCTCTCATTCTCCAGAATTTGCCTCTGGGCATATGCTGCTCTTCCAGTCTGCTGGCAGCTCAATGGTAAGGGATGAAGCTGGTTGAAGTGCACCATCAGCCTGGGCTGCATCCTGCATGGCAGGGACATTTCCTTGGCTTGTCTTCAGTTCTCTCTGCTCCTTATTGTTCATCTCTTGTTCTCCCTCATCTCCTACTTGAAGCTTCTCTTTCAAATGACAGGATATTAGTTTTCCTTCAAGTGCTGATATATTTTTTTTTATTCTTGGGATTTCCTCAGACAATGTTTCCTGCTAGCCTGGAATATGTATTTAATATCTGACTGATCGTGATATTTTCCTCTTTTCTCCTTCGTCTGTATGAGGTACCTGTGTAAAATTCAAGTTCTTGAATGAGTTGGGTTTGGGCTATTATTCCTTGGCAACTCTAGTACTTCGGTGAGGACTATATTCTCTTCCAAATAACAGAGGATGTATGCTGTGTCATAGATTGCAAACAGTGCTGCTGATTTGTAAGAAAAAGGGATGAGCAGAGATGCTTCACCCACTCTGCTTCTCTATGTGCCAGTTGTCTCCTTTGCAGAGCTGAAGAGCTGTGCTTTTCCCTGCCATTCATTTGGCCCTGTGTTCATATTTTCTAGCAAAATCACATTTATCTACAGGCACAGTACAGGACAGTAAACATTAGCGCTTAGAAGAATGATTCCCTTGTTTTAACTCACTGGTTCAAAAAGGAGACACCACAGTAAAATGTCTCCCAGAAGTGAGAGATGGGAATCTCTGTTCCTTTGGAGCTAACTCTGGCTATATTTGCACTACATGATGTGTGACTGAAACCTGAGTGCATGGATGACAAAGCAGGGTGTTCTCCCAGCAGCTGCAGCCACGGCCTCAAGGATGGTAGGAATGCATCATGGTGAGCACTAGATGCAGGTACAGGGTGCAGAAGGGTGAAAATAGGCTCTCTGTTCACTACTTTGACTGCATGCCTTGTAGATATTTTTCTGTGAACTGCTGTGGAAATCTCATTCTAAGAAACAATGGAAAAAACAGCAGTACTGTAAACAGTGAAACAGTCTATTTTTTTTTTCTGTTATAGAAAGGAGAATATAGGAGATTGTTGAAGGCATGGTAAACTGGTTCCCAAGTCCTTACTGAACCCGAGCTGCAGGTTCTGTTGGGTAGAAATGGGCACCTGAGCAGTTGATGTTGGCAGATGTGGCATTGAAAATGTCACCTGGATATGGCACTTGAGTGTCCTCCTGGTGCACTTTCCCTTCTCTAAATTCACAGAACATGGAGCGTTATGGAAACCCTGAAATTCCCTGAGATTGCTAGGTGAAGAAAGATGTGCAAATCAATATATTTGTGATGCACTTGAACACACACAAGCCAATGCACATGACCATGCACAAGTCATACACATTGACATTAGTGGGAAGTCTGCCTGGGCACCAAATGATGGTGAGGAAAGACCATATTTAAGTCAGTAACACAGAAAGCACTGCTGTTTGCCTGGCAGTATATTCTCTTCCATATATATCTCATAGCACATGATAAATCTGACACAGTTACTCAGTCTTACATTGGCACGTGGATTGAACTGGTTAGCTGAAAAGCACATCAGACTCACATGGTAAGTCCCAGTTAACTGTGAGACAAAAGTAATGAGTCAGGACTAGGGCCCAGCAAGTCAGCAGAGTTTATGGAAATCAAATCACATCACTTCTATTCTGAGATGGGGATTTCTGTGACGTGACTGTACATTTTGGCATTTTATCTGAGTGAACAGAAATACAAATATATGGAAAAATTCACAGACACTCAGAAGCACGCCACTCAAAAGCTACGTATCAGAACTGGCATAGTTCAGCATGAGCTTTCCTTCGGCCAGCAATATTTGCCCAAACTGCTAAACATATACCCAAGAAGAGATCTGTCTTTGGCGTATAAATACTAACAAAAAAAATGTGTGCCATCTTGCTTTTCACTGATTAAAAAAAAAAAAAAAAAAAACTAGAGAGATCATTCACTTTCTATTTCCCAAACTTTGTTTTACACCTGGATGGATTATCTAAAGTAATGGTTTCTTCCTGGATATTTTTTTTCTGGAAGTTTTAGTAATTTTCATGGTGTTTTATCACTAGCATGCTCACTAGTATGCTAAGTCAGTGTTTTTCAAGAATCTGAAAATGAAACAGGACAATCATGAGCACCAGACAATTAGCAAAGGAGTCTAAGTTTTCTCTATGCTAGTGTAGGCCCATCCCTGCTCAACAGCATCTTCCAGCCAGTAGTGATGTCAGTAACAGATAAATAGTTTTCACTAAACTTACTTTTTCCTAGTAAAACTTTCAACTGATTCTGATCTCTGGAAATAGATGAATGCTTTAGCAAAATTGCTTGAGAAGGGATGACTACAGAGTCTTCCCCATAGTGTTAGAGTCTCTGAAAGCCTCCCACGGGGTATTTGTTTTGAGAGGAAATATGATATGAACACTCAAATTGAACTTTGTTTTATGATGGATTCCTCCTAGTGAAAAATGTCCTTGCTGTATAGGGCAGAAGTTACAGACTGCCTTACAGTAGTAGCATCCTAACAGTACAGGAGAAGCAGACATGCTTCCTTCCCTCAGTGAAGTGGGACTAGAGAGCAGAGTCTACAAGTGCAGCTGCTCAAAACAGGTGAGAGAGGGGAATTCTTTGAAAGTGCTCTCGGAAAACTGTGAATCAATTCTTCTGACATTTGTTCTTTGTTAGAAGAGTCATCATTTCAAGATGAAGCCAATAAGATGTTTCTGTTTCAGTATGAGTCTTGGCTAAAGAAACCAAGCTCATTGGCTTGTGGTTAATATGGATATTTACTGTGATAGACAGGTAAGGTATAAAGGAAAAAAGCAGTTTGTGACTACTGTTATGATGAAGACCTTGCTTGTGAATTGGCATTGAAACCTAAGCTAAGGTAAATATTGCATGAAGATATATTCTATTCTCAAAAATGTTTTACTTATAAAGACATTCATACAAAGAGATTGACTGTGGATATGAGCTGGTGTACCTCCTGGACAAAGGAAGTTTAGAGGACTTGGAGGTGAGTCATTCCCAGCAAGGCTGCTACACTGATAGCTGAGGACTGGTACATCTGTGGAGCCTGTCGTTCCTTCTCTCTTGTGATATATCTTGCCCTGCTAGTGACAACTGAGGTTTAGAAGAAATCAGTGTGATCATACTTTTCTGAAAAGAAATAGTATATGAAAATATCTTCCACTGATAAAACTATGTATCTTGCAAGAATAGCCATTAGAATTGGAATAACGTTAGGATAGGTTAGGGTGGCATTGAGGTTTCTGAACAGTGGATGAATATGGTGTCACTAATGTGCTACTAATGTTTACTACTGTTTGTCATCATGGATTTTACTTTGGGTTGACGTTGACATCACTATTTCATTGTTAAGATGGGCAAACTGCTAAAAAGGAAGTAATTGGGTGAATTTTGACATGTGCAAGGCTTGAATTAAGATTAGAACTTCTGACGCCGACAGGCCCTCTTCATGCGCTTCTGCCTCCCTGCCATTTGTTTCTTCCTTACTCTTTACTCACTTCTGGGTTCTAAGCTCTGAGCTTTGGGGATGAACAGAAAGCATCTGTTAAGCTGATCCCGGCAACCAAGCTCCTTTACACCTGGTGATTGAGATACTCTCCAGTCACCACATGAGAAGGGGTAACCCATTTACACCAATTTCATTTCCCAAGGAAGCAAAACTGCAGCACCAGTGCAGACTTGACTCTGGAGGCTCCTGACTGTGGGCAGTTGCTTCAGTGTGTCTGAAGATGAGGCTCTTGCACCCTGCAGGGCTTCAACCCCTGCCCTCCAAACTGTCGTGCTTCCAGAGGGAAAAGGCTGCCCCACCAGAGGACAGCGCAGCCCCTGAACCCTCCTCCTAGTTCAGCCTCTGTCTCATACTGAGACCAGCAGGGCTAGCAGTGGGTTGTTTGAGCAGACAGAAAGAGGAGACAAAGATTTTGCTGGGGAGAGGGGGCAGCAGTGGGTAGAAGTAACTGAGCAGTTCTGATCTTTAGGAAATCATCACTTGGGCTACCGCTGCAAATGCTGGTTTCAGTGGGAGTGCACCTGTGGTGATGCTCACAACCCACTTGTGAACTGTAGATGTTGGTGCCCTTACAACTGAAAACCTGCTTTAATAATGCTAGAAGCCTCTGCAGACGTGACCTGTCACACTCTGAGCTATTTCAGGAACTCATTAACTAAAAGCAGAACTTTTTTGGAGATCAGAGTTCATGTCTGTATTCCTGCTCCCAACTCCTGAGCAGTTCTCCCACTCTTCTTTTCTGAAAAAAAATACATGGGCTACGAGCATTGGGGAAGCAGGAATGTTACAAGCAATCTTCCGAGGATTTTCAAAATAGGAGGTCAGTACAGGACATAATTAAAGTATATTAATATATTAACTCATTGGTTTGGGGTTGTAAGCGAAAATCATTTCATATCTGGGCTGTGGATAGCTCATTAAAAGGGGATGCCAAATGCTTCAGCTTTATCCCATAGTTACACTTCTTTGAATGGGCTGAATGGCACCTCAGTGATGTGTTCTTGTGCAACCCATGTTCAGTATAGCAGTTAATCAACTATTTGAGCTGCCTTTTATGCTTGTTTTTTATTTTGAAGAGCAATCAACAATGGATTTTCTGCTGGCAAAACGTAACTCCTCTCCACTGTATCAAGTCTACAACTCCTTTCAAAGGACAACAGAGTCCATGTCACCACCACCTAATACTTCTTCAAATTATTATGATGACTATTATGATCCTGTAATGGCTTCCACTTGCACCATGGAACATATTAAAACCTTTACATCTACATTTTTTCCAGTGYTGTATAGCATATTGTTTGTGACAGGTCTCATGGGAAATGCTTTGGTTGTTTGGGTCCTAATAGTCTGCAGGAAAATCAATGCCATGACCGATGTGTATCTGCTGAACCTTGCCTTCTCCGACCTCCTCTTTGTCTTCTCCCTCCCCTTCCTGGCGCACTACTCCGCAGGGGGCCACTGGCCCTTTGGAAAGGCCATGTGTAAAGTAATCAGTTCCACCTACTTCATTGGCTTCTACAGCAGCGCCTTCTTCATAACCATCATGAGCATCGACAGGTACTTGGCCATCGTGCGGTCGGTGTACGCGCTGCGGGTGCGGACGGCTGCGCGCGGGGCCGTGACCAGCCTGCTCCTTTGGGCAGTGGCC